CCATGCACACATACATATATATGTGGAAACAAACAGGATGTTGGAACTAAAAATGTGCGCCACATAAACTGAGATCAGAAGAGTCTGAGAGACAGCTTAAGGTCTGACGAATGCAGGCCTGTCTGTTTTATCTATAAAACTGTTCTAGATCACCATCATCATCATCATTATACTAGCCAGCATTTATGTGGCACTTGGAGAAACTCTTTTTAAAAAGTACTTTCCGTAGGTTATCTCATTCAATACTCACAAAAACCTTGAGAGGTAGGCACTATTATTACCCTCCTTTTACAGATGAAGAAACTGAGGCACACAGAGGTTAAGTGACTTTCACAGGATCACACAGCTAGATTTGAACTCAGGTCTTCCCGACTCCCAGTCCACTGCTGTATGTACTTACCATGCGGCTGCCTCAGACATCTAGTCGTTCTTTAATAAAGATAAAAGCTAATGTAGCTTTAAAAAAACAACTTGGCATCCCAAGTCCACAGATCCACAGCCTCACGTCCTCTTCCCTCACAAGAGCCAGATCCTATAAAGCAGGGGTGGGGAACCTGCAGCCTCGAGGCCACACGTGGCCTTCTAGGTCCTCGGGTGCGGCCTTTTGACTAAGTACAAGTTTTACAGAACAAATCCTTTTATTAAGGAGATTTGTTCTGTGAAGTTTGGATGCAGTCAAAGGGCTGCACTTGAGGACCCAGAGGGCCACACGTGGCCTCGAGGCGGCAGGTTGCCCACCCCAGCTCTAAAGCCTCCAAAGATAGTCTCCAGTGTCAGATGCATGTGAGATCCTTCTCTTTTGGTGCTGCTCAATCTAAAAGAACAGCATTAATACACAGGCAGCATGCCGCCGGCGCCCTCCCTCCTCCCCGGGGCACCAGTGACATTTCATGTACATTTCCCGAGGTATCCCGAGGAACAGCAGGAGCCCTGCCAGCCAACAGGCCGGTGGGGCGCCCTGTCTCATCTCTTCCCTTTCAGCGCACCACGTGCCTGGCTACGTGGACTTACACATTTAGCTTTAACTAAATGAACCCCCACAAAATGGCCAAGAAGATGAAGAAGGCGCTTGCCAGGAACCCATGGACTAAAGATGACAGAACTAATGGGAGCACGAGAAGACCAGCGCACTAACGCTCACCGTCAGCCATGAGGACCAAATCAGACGCAGCAGGAAGCCACCCGAGCAGGTGCACGGCCTTTCTCACGGCTCAGCATTGAGAGGAAACGTCAGCCTGGGCGCAATGGGCTCCTCGCTTTTCTTGGACAAAAAGCCAAGGATCCCCCGGGGGCTGACCTCACCTGGGATGGAAGGGCTATCCGAAGGACATTACTGAGCAGACAGTCAGGATCAGTCCCTTCTGGGCAGAGGTGAAGGTTCAGGAGTGAATAAGAAAGTAACTGCCTGGCAAAGAACTGGAAAATGAGAGAAGGTCCATCAACTGGGGAGTGGCTGAATGAGCTGTGGTACATGGATGTGATGGAATACACACACTGTGTGTAAGAATTGTGCTATAAGAAATGATGAGCAGGCAGGCTTCAGAAAAACCTAGAAAGACTTACATAAACTGATGCTGAACGAAGTGAGCAGAACCAAGAGAACGTTGTACACAATAACAACCATGTTGTGCAATGACTAACGTTGATAGACTTAGCTCTTCTCAGCAATGCAAGGATCTAAGTCATCTCCAAAGGCCTCATGATGGAAAATCTATCCACATCCAAAGAACTATGGAGTTTGAATGCAGATGGAAGCACACTGTTTGCTCTTCTTTTCTTTTGTTGTTTTGTTTTATTTCTTCTTTCTCGAGGTTCCTCCTATTGGTTCTAATTCTTCTTTACATCATGACTAATGTGAAAATATGTTTAATATGAATGTATAAGTAGAACCTATATCAGATTGCACACTGTCTCAGGGAGGGGGGAGGAGAAAAAGGGGGAGAAAATTTAAAACTCAAAGTTTTATGGAAGTGAATGTTGAAAACTAAAAATTAAATAAATTAATTGTAAAAAAGAAAGAAAGAAAGTAATTGCTTTTTGAGAAAAGCTTACGCGATGGGTGAGCACTGGGAAAACATGATGGAGCTGCTCCCATCATCTTGGCTTTTTTGCTGAAAACAATATGTCACCTCTAAAAACTCTCAGCATACAGACATGCCTTTATACTTGGAAACAGAAATTTCTAAACTATCCAAAAAATCTTCCAAATTCAGCGTTCTGAGGAGTTCTGAACCATTTGTTAAAAATATAATGATGAATTTGGGAGAACAACCACTCAGCATAAGGGAAGATGGAAATTTACTAACCAAATTTCAACAAAAACTTTGCATAATTGGTGGATGAGACTGAAAGATGGAAGATGGCTGAGTGAAAGCAGCGACTTGCTTGCGCTCTCCCCCAAACCCTCCAAACACCTGTAAAAAAATGGCTCTAAACAAATTCTAAAGCAGCAGAACCCACAAAAAGACAGAATGAAACAAATTTCCAGCCCAAGACAGCCTGGATGGTTGATCAGAAAGGTATATCGCGCCGGACTGGGAGAGGAGCGCAGTTCAGCGTGGGCGTGGAGGCCACAGCGAACCTGGAGCAGGCCTCAGAGGACTGAATGGCAGGCAGCTGTGGCGGTTTCCAGACTTCTCAACCCACGAACACCAAAGACAACTTAGAAGGTCAGTAGGAAAAGTCTGTTTCTGTGGTGAGAGAGAAGCTAGGTCTCAGCCCCAGTTCCTGAGCAAGGCCCAAAACAGCGGCTGCCTCCTGAGCTTCCAGCCCACAGACTGAGGGGAAATCGAGTGGCTGATCAGAGGGGGATTGCAGGGATCTCTTTGCCAGTACTGAGGTAGGAATCTCTTGCTTTGCTCATGCTTGGATCTGGGTCACAGTTCTGAGGGGCAGTCCTGGGGCAAGGAGGAGCGCTGGCATGGTGGAGCTTGTAGTGGTGGTGGAGAGAGAATCCCCCTCACAGTTCCAAGACAGAAAAGAGGGCTTGTGGTCATTCACAGACCAGAGCACAGGCCAGGAAAGGAGTAAACACCTCATCCCTTATCATACCACCTTGGAAGAACTGAAAATTCACAGATCCCTAGAAGTATCTCTGAAAACAGCTGTACAAACCCCCGAAGCTTGGGACAGTACATTCTACAAAATGGAAGCAGACCTCTACCTTAATAAAGAGTTTATAATTCAAGTAATTGGCTGGGATCATGAGCAAAACTCACAAGAAGTATCAGACCATAGAATCTTTTTTTGATAACAAAGAAGATCAAAACATACAACCAACGGGGCAGCTAGATGCTGCAGTGGATAGAGCACCGGCCCTGAAGTCAGGAAGACCTGAGTTCAAATCCAGCCTCAGACCAAACACTTGACACTTACTAGCTGTGTGACCTTGGGCAAGTCACTTAAACCCAACTGCTTAAAAAAAAAAAACTACACAACCAGAAGAAGACAACAAAGTCAAAGTTCCTACATCCAAAGCCTCCAAGAAAAATATGAATCAGTTCCAGGTCTTGGAAGAGCTCAAAAGGGATTTTGAGAAGCAAGTAAGAGAAGTAGAGGAAAAACTGGGAAGAGAAACGAGAGTGATGCAAGAAAATCATGAAAAACAAGACTGAGAGATGAGTATCATCCTCTAGTAAGGGGCACAGGTAACAAATGCAGCATTTCCACTGGTGTCTGCTTCTCTTTGGGAGTTCTCTTTTTCAGCTACGCCAGCCACTGAAACCAAGTACTGAAGAAAGTGGAGCTTCAGACTGCTCTAACACAAAGGGTTAAACAAGACTATCCAGAACAATAAAGCATATCTAATTACACTGCTATTATTAATCAAGCAAGTCACTTCACCATTGCCTGCCTCAGTCTCCTCATCTATAAAATGGGAATAATAATAACAAACCTCCCAGAAGTGTTGTGAGGATAAAAACGAGATAGTATTTGTAAAGAGTTTTGCAAGCCTTAAGGCAATATATAAATGCTAGCTATTGCTAATCACTATTATTAAAATATTGCTTACTTTATCTTTATCTTATGCCTTTCAGTTTTCTGTTTGTGTATGTTTTCTGACATCACGGTTTTATAACATAATTTCATAGAGTCCAGAGAACTAGCCTCAACACAAAGGAGTCCTGGGTTCGAAGCTGTGTGATGCTGGGGGAGTCACTTCTCAGTGCTCAGAGCCACACTCCAAGACTAAGCTACAAAGAAGAGTGCCCTCCCTTGGGAACTCCCTTCTCCAAATAAGTCACGAGTACAGCCTTCCCCTCTACCAGGTACGTAATACTTTACTACAATATACTGAACTACAATAAATCAATGAATAGATAGTGGGTGAGGGTGCTCCAGTAGGTTTTACTGATGGGGTACATGACCAAACAAGCATGAACTTTTCTCCTGATCTCAAGAGTAAAGCGTGTCCACTTCCCACCAAACTGAGGCCACTCCAGAAGGGACCCCTGCCGAAAGTGCATTCTCTCACCGCCCCCGACCCACGGCCACTCACAGGAACTGTTCCTGAGAACACTGAGTGCAGCCGAGAGGTTAAAAGGGGAGTTAACATTCCTCTAGTACTCTAAGGTTTACAAAATGCTTTCCGTAGTTTATCTTCCCTGCTCCTCACTATGGGGGCTATTATTATCCCCATTTTATGGATGAGGAAACTAAGACACAGAGATACTAAAGTGATTTGCCCCAGGTTACATAGCAATAACTGAATGAAGAAGAATTCAAACTCAGGTCTTCCTGATTCCAAGGCAAGCTCCCTACCCAATATCTACCTGCCTTACAGCTGGCAGGGACAAAGCCTGTAGGTAAACTTCCTGTTGGCCTATTTTCCCAGAGCTGAGAGACCCTACTCATTGAGGACAGAGGTCTGAAAGCCCCAGCAGGACCCCGCAGACAGTGACCCAGTCAGGTTTGAGCTTCCAGGAAGGAGGTTCCCAGATAAGGCCCGGAAGTGAGATGAGATTCCGTACCCAGAGCCTGCGTGGCTAACAGTCCAGTACCTTTGCCTTCTTCATGCTGCTCATCATCTTGCCCAGATCCTCCACGTCCATCACTGAGCTGCGACTCTGATGGTCTTCAGCGCCCGACTCTTCCTCACTTGTGGTTTCAAATTGTTCTTTCTCCTATACAATAAACATGCAAATAAAGTTCTTCAGTGGATTTAAAAGGGTCAGTGTGGGTCTACCAGAATGGTTCACCAAGGGCCCAGAGCTACGGGGCCATCTTGGTTCCTAGTGTCTTATCTAGAAAAACCATCAAAGGCTCAGCATTTCAACGCTCGCCTTCCCAGGCCCCAGTGACAGATGACAGGAACAACTCAACCTTAAGCCATAATGGAGATTACAAGTTCAGGGATTAGAGGCTGAAATAATCACACAAATATGGAGCCCAGCTCTTTCCCCCACAACTCACATTTTACAGATGAGGAAACTTAGATCCAGGGAGGAGGCAGGATCACACATTTAGAATTGTAGGAGACCTCAGAGGTCATTTAGTACAACTTTGTCACTTTACAGCTAAGGAAACTGAGGCCCAGAGAGGTTAACAGTGGCTTACATAACATTGGTAGTGACAAAGGTAGGATTTGAACCCAGGTCCTCCACTCCAAATTTAGCGCCCTTTACATTATACGCCATCCACTCCCAACGGTCCAAAGCAACCACGTGGGGATCTCTGGAGGGAGCTTGTGGATGGCAAGGATTGGCAGAGGTAGAGGACAGGGAGGAAACCTCGGCCTGACTGAAGCCAAGGGGACCCTCTGACACAGAGCATCCTACACCAGAGGAGGAACCTGGCACAGAGGAAACATTCTCCCTTTGGGTCAGGAAGCCCATGTGTCCCTAGCCCTCTCGGCTGGCAAAGCAAGGAAGAAAGTGCACGAGGAGGGGCCACAGGGAAGAGGCCACTCTATCAGCTAAGCAAGGAGGAATTCAGGGCCATCACAAAGAACAAGGCAACTTCACCTCCCCTTCCCTTATTAGACTCTCTGCTCTCAGAAGAACCAAAGAGGCCCAGTGCGAAACCACAGTGGAGGGCTGGGACAAAGGAGGAGACTTTGGAGCTTCTGACTGACCAGGGATGTGACCTCCCCATCCCAAGAAGACCAGGGAGCTGCTCCAGGGCAGGCACTTCCAGCCTCCGTTTCTGTTTGGGGCAGAAGCTTTCTTGGTTTCCTCTTCTGTAAAATGAGGGCTCCAGCAGTCCTTACTGGATCTAGACTGATGACCAGATGAGTTTATCTGATATTCTCCAGCATCAGAGCATTAAAGATCCTTAAAATCCAGTAACCTCTTTTAAAGATGAAGAAGCAGTGGCCTAGACAATAAAGTCACTTGCCCAAGGTTGTACAAGTAGCTAAATAGCAGTTAAACTTCAACCCAGGACCCCTCCCCGGGGATCTGCATGGCACTGTGGGCAAGTTCTCAGTTGGCAGGGGGAAGGAGGGGTGTGCCTCTGCCCATCTCCTGGCTGCCTCCTACCACCAGCCCAGGCAACCATACTCCACATCCACCCTCACTGCCCAGGAAAAGGTGCCAAGCAACTGCCTCCCAAGCCCCTCCCCAGCGCTGTGACTTCTCAGACTCCAAGCCCTAGATGCGGGGTCTTCCCTGTTAGAATGCAAGCTCCTGGAAGGCAAAGTATGTCTTTCCTTTGGCCTGTATTGGTATTCCTGGCACTCAGCACAGTGCACATAGTAAGCATTAAGAAATGCTTTTTGTTCATTCACTCATTTGGATGCTAAAAAGTCCAGTCTCCCCCTATATAAATGAAAAGGGAACCAGCAGCCCCTCTCCCCTCTGTGTGAGGCAGGGTCTTCACAGAAACAAAAGCAAGACAGGATCCTTAAAACTTTACAGAAGTCCATTTCCTGCTGCAGTTTAGAGAACACTGCCATCCATCTCTCTGGCTTTGAAGCAGCCCCCCAGCGCAACGCTCCCACGGTGGGCGATGAACCAGCCCAGCAGGTGTTCACTGATTCCAGGAGAATGGAGCAGGAGAGAACATACATTACTGTGCTCAGACCTGGAAGCAATTAGATGTAAAGGTTCTTAGGGACAATTAAGGAGAGTGGGCTGGGGGTGATGGATGGAGGCAGGTGGTGGAGAAGATTCCCCTCTGGGTCTTTAAGATCAAATGAAAGACTTTTCACAAGCACTCCATGGGAGCTGGGGGGTTATTATTACTGCTGTTGTTGTTGTCTTTATCATCATCATTATTATTGTTGTTATTGTTAAATAATGGAAAAAGCACCTAATTCTTGCAGTCAGAATAGACTCAGTTCACTCTGAAATCAGGGTGCTGGGCAGTGGGAGCTGCTCAGGCAGCTTCCAGATGGATGACATAAAATAAAATAGCTGTTTGGGGCATATCTGGAGAAGGAAGGGAGGGAGAGGGAGGAAAGGGCAGGAGGGAAGGAAGAAAGGAGGGTGGATGGGAAGGAGTAAGGGAGAAGGAGGAGGAGAGGGAGGGAAGGAAGGGAAGACGGAAGGGAGAAAGGAAGGAGGGAAGGAGGAAGGGAAAAGAAGGGAAGGAAGGAAGAAAGGAAGGAGGGAAGAAAAATGGAAGGAGGGGAGGAAGGGAAGAAGGAAGAAAGAGAGGAAGGAAGGGAAAAATGAATGAAAGGAGGAAAGAGGGAGGAAAAGTGAGAAGGAAGGCAAGAAGGAAAAAGGGAGGGAAGGAGGAAGGAAAGAGGGAGGGAAGGAGGAAGAAAGAGAGGAAGGAGGAAAGAAAAGAAGAAGGAAAGAGGGACAAAGGAGTGAGGGAAGGAGGAAGGAAGAAGGAAAGACAGAGGGAAGGAAGGAGGGAGGGAGGAAGGGAGGAAGGAGAGAGGAGGACGGGGAAGGGAGGCAGGGTGGGAACAGGGATCACTGTACCTCGGGGGCCTCCCGCTGGGGCCCCGCCGGCCCCATGCCCTTTCCCTCCTTCTTGACTCTGCATCCGCCTTTTTCGCAGCTGCCCCGGCGGTGGCTGCCACGGCAGGCCTTCTTCTCACCGCTGCTGCCGCGGCTTAGATCCTGCAGCCGGGAAAGGAAGCGGGCCTGCCAAGCGGCGAAGTCGGCTTCCAGGCTCCCGTGCCTGCTCTTCACCACGTTGCCGTCGCCCTCCCCGCAGGTCATGACCCGCCTGGCACTGAGCATCCACAACCATCTATCAATGTTTTTGCCGACCTGCAAGAAACAAGGGACACCGGTCATGTGGGGACACGGTCCTGAGTCTAAATCAAGGATGAGGCAGAGAAATTAAATAGAAAAGATTGAATTTCGAGAGGCAAGTTTATGGGCCAATAATCAATTTGGTAAAACACAAACTCAGCAAACATGCCAAGACTCATGCATCCAACACCCCAGAAGTTGATGTCTCACATAAGATGTTTCCAAGACAATTTCAGGCCAAGGACAAATGGCTCTAGCCCCACGAAAAGGAGCCCATAAAGGGACTGAAATGGGCCCCAAAGGAATCGGGGTTAAAGGAGGCTCTGTGAGGCCTCAGAGTGGCTGTCAGGCACACCGTCCAGCCTCATTTAGGGCACTCGGACCCCACTTTCCCATGAACACAAAGAAAGGATGAGAGCCGATGAATTCAAACTGCCCCCAAAGTGCTTCAGGTTTCTCAAGCTGAGCCCATCAGGAGCTGCTGAGGCCCCCAGGACAGGCAAAGGGCAGGGTCTAAAAGAGCTCTTCCCATGCCAAAAAGCAGAGAAGGAGCTGGGCTGGGCCTCTACACTGGCTGCAGAGGCTTACAGAGAGGGGGTAGTAGAAAAGAGTGAGGCCAGTGGGCCCTGAGGCAAGTTTGGGATCTTTCCCATCCCCATCTGGCCCTTGGGATGAATCTCTAACTGGGCCTACACTCTAGGCCCGACCTTCCAAGGGCAGCAGAGAGGAAGCCAGGCTCGTTCCCAGACTAGAGAGAAGGCTGCAGCCTGGGGCCACCAACAACTAAGCGCAGGCAGCTGTCTGTCGTACTGGCCAAAGCTGCTCAGGTTTAAGGGACCTTTATCTGAATGTGTGGCTCCAAAGGTTCCCTGTCTCTGCTGAGGCAGACGACAGGAGCCCGCAACAACAGGGCCCGCTAAAAACAATTTTTACCTCTAAAAGGTAAAACCTTTACCTCTAAAAGCAAAACATCAATCAGCCAGCCAGCATGTAATAAACACCTCCAAACACAAAAGTAAGTAAGACAATCCCTGCCCTCAAGGGGCTCACTTTCTACTGAGGAGACACAACACGTTCACACATAAGAAAATCCAGAAGATAAGATAGACGGGGATGTGGGAATGTGAGGGAATCAGGCAAGATCTCTGAAGGAAATGATAACTGGACAGAACCGGGAAAGGAGCCAGGGCTTCCAAGAGGCAGAGGGCAGGCACAACCATGAGGCGGCTCCTGAAAGAGGCCAAGGGGACCCGAACTCAGACGGTTGTGGAGTCAGTAGAGAGAGAAGGTGAGGAGGTGGAACAGATTGGCAACTGGATATAGGGGCAGAGGAAGAGTGGAGAGTCAAGGATGACATGTAATGATCGACTCTGACCCAAAAAGTCAATGGTGAGACTGTCCCTCTCTCCTCTCAACAGAGAGTGGAGAGCTACAGAATGAGGTATACACTATCAGACAGGACCCATGTGTTGGTTTGTTTTTGCCAAATTCCACCCCTTTATTACAAAGGCACGATGAGGCTTTGAACACGGCTCCAAGATAAGCTGTGTATATCAATCACTGAAGAGCCAGCTCTCTGAATCCCACCACCAGAAAGTGAATTTTCTTTGGCCACAGCAACTCACAATGACTGTCAAGTACAGCCTGAAGGGTCATCCTCTGCTGGGAGGCCCCGGGATGGAGGAACAGCCCCGTCCACACCAGCCAAGAGGATAAAAGCAGCCCCTTACCTTGTTAAAGTTGCTCTCATAGACTGAGTTTCCCAATCCAAACACTGCGTATCTCATGCCCTTCAGATAAGTCTTGCCAAATCTAAAGTCATTAGACGCTTCCTCCAACCATTTGCAGAACCACTCTGCACTGTCTGGTGGTCGGCCATCAGTGTAGGTAGCAACCAGGAAGACACAAATATTTTTACTGGTTACCTACAAAAAAAAAAAAAGGCATTCCAAAGGATTTCCAAGTCCTCCTAATGAAAGAGGTATTTCTTTTGAAATTCACCTTCACATTGCCTAGGCCTCCAAGAAATAGAAGCCTTTTCCATGTGTTATTAATTCTCAAAACAGAAAGAACAGCTATAATTATCCCTATTTTATGGATGAGAGAAGTGGGATGGACAGGTGACGGAGGACATGGAGCCCAGAAACACAGGAACTGTGCCATTTAAACCTCCCACAGCCTCTGGGGCATCCACGGACTAGGAAAGACTGCTGGGGAGACTCATGGCTGCCTAACCCTACACTCAGGCACCAGCAATCTTCTTAAACACCATCATCTCCTTGAATAGGGACTTTGAGCAGTGGAGAGTGAATGAGCTGACAAAAAGTAAAGGAGAGGAGTCTAAAGGCTGTCCTAAAGGTAGCAAAGAGATGCTAACTGGCAAACAGCCGGAGGATAAACTGCATGGTCCATGTTAGAGCATAAAATGCATCCATGGCCTCAGATTCACCTCCAAAAAATGCACACAATGAAAATCCCCACGCAGGTGAAGAAGGTAGGGCAAGTTCAGCTGCCCGTGACTAACCTGCCCACAGCCGGGCCTTCCGTCCAGCACGAGCCCATCTTGTCTGATCCCAGAAGCTGAGCAAGGGGGGCCCTGGTCAGGACTCAGATGGGAAACCTCCTGGGCACACTCAGCGCTGGAGGGCACCTAGTTTGGGCAGTGTGTGGCACGGTACACAGACTTGGCATACAAGCTGGGCAAGTCACTCTATCTCAGCCTCAGTTTCCTCGTCTCTAAAATAGAGATGAGACCTACTTCAAAGGGCTCGTAGGAAAATCCAATGACATAATATATGCAAAGCACTTTGCAAACCTTAAAGTGCTATACAGATGCTAGCTGTTATTATTATTACATAACAATACAACTTTTATATATTGTGTTACATATTCTTTTGTAACAGTAACAATTATGACTGTTACCATCAGGTCTCTGAGCTACAGCTGTAGGGGCACCTACTGTGCGTGCTTTCCATTCCTCCTAGGCTCAGCACTCCACATGGCCTCAGAGTTATGACCGTAAGATAGATCAGGGGTGGGGAACCTCTGGCCTCGAGGCTGCTGTTCCCCAAGCCCTGAAATCATCTGGCCTCACAGTCCCTTCTAAAAAGTCACCAGCAAATAGAACCTTTTTAAGGAAATTAAATTTATTCTGGAAAGTCCAAGTATTCTTGAGTAGCCCAGGAGCCGAAAACCAGAAGGTGCTTTGATGGGGAAAGAGACAAAAGACGACTCATCACCTACCTCCTCCCCCAGGTGATCATCGGGGTCATATTCTTTCAAATTAATGACCACCACAGGCAAATCAAGAGCCGTGACCGCTTTGGCCAGACTTGCTGCAAATCCCTGATGAAAAAAAATCAGACAAACTGTTCAAGAAACCCAGAATGACAGAGACGCATCACTGACCCCATTTCAGCAGGAGTGAACTTTCCAAGCCCCATCTCAACTCCTCTTAAACACCACCTTTTTTTTTATTAACTCCCTCCATGGCAATCACAGATCACACATCATTGGATAAAAGGTCAAAGACTACAAGCAGAAGTGACAAGAAGAAACACACTGCAAATAACTGAAGAAAAGTCCTGCCTCCCTAAGGACCAGAGAGCTGACCAAAGAGATCACTTCACTGATGCCAGGGGGCCCGTGGCAAGGCTGGCAGAGCCAAGGGGCAGCATCAGAGCAGAAAGGCTTGGGCAGCTCCCAGGCAGTGGGCCCTCGTTCTCAAGGTGTCACCTGGTCCAGTCTCCTCCTCACCGTACAGGTGAGGACACCAAGGATCAGAGGGCTTTGGCTCTCTCTGCACGGCACTATACTTGGTTCCCTGTGATCGTCCCTTTTGATCCAATAATTCCATCATTGGACGTGTGCCCCGAGGGAGTTATCATAAAGGAAAAAAGCTGCATCTGTTCAAACAGATGTACAACAGCATTGTTTGTGGCTGCAAAGAACCAGAAATAACCTAAATGTCCAACAGTTGGCAAATGGTTGATTCAGCCAGGGTACATAAACAAAATGGAATCTTAGCATTTTGCTCTTTAAAATGATAAATATGAAGAAGATAAAGAAACAGGAAAGGTTTACTGAGGTAATAAGTGTTTAAATTATGAAGCATAAGCAGAAGAATGACGTATACACTCACCGTGGCTATAGAAACGAAAACACATAGACAGAGAGATGAATGGCCAAACAGAATGGAATCCCGGGGAGGTATAAAGAATGTGAACTCTGAATATATTGGGCACAAAAAGTTCTTTTTAAGTGTAAATAGTGACAAAGATTTATGCAGTGAGTGTGTGCCCAGGAGGGCCTGCTGGGAGCTTCCTGAATCCCTCTCCTGTCTACTCAAGGGAAAGGCCGAAGAGCCTCAATAAAGCTGCCTCTTTGAGAAGGGAAGAGCTCATCTGGCCCAGGGTCCTGCCCTGACCCCTTGCCTACAGTGAAGGCGACAGGCTGAATCAAACAAACTTGGACTTGGCCTTCATAAAAAAAAAAAAAAAAAAAGCTAAACTCTTAGGAACAGGGCGAGAATCAGGACTGAGACAGCCAGAAAGAAGTTGGTCAAACACACTCTTCCCCAGGAAAGGAGCCTGAGCAACCCCATAGCCTTCCAGGGAACCACAGAGCACCTGGAGAAGAGGAAGCCACGATCCAGAGACGACACCAAAGGGTCATCTTTGTTTTGAGCTGGTGATGTAAAGAAGAGCCCCTGGACCTAGCCAGAAGCTTCGGGGGCATGAGCAGGCAGCTGTGACATACACTGATGGGGGGATATACCCAGAACAAGCCTCTGGGAGGGGACCCCTGGGCCCCGGAGCTCCTGAACGTCATCAAGTTCACCAAATGAGATAACATTTGTGAAAAGCACTTAGCACAGTGCCTGGCACACAGTAAGCGCTATATAAACTCTTACTCCCTTCCCTTCTCCGCTCCTTAGAAGAAGTAGGAGCCAAGCTAAGGAGCAGAGATGACTAGAGTCATGATACAGAGAAGCAAACCCTGGCCCTGGCCCTCAGTGATGGTGGCAGTTATCTGCACTGTTCAAGTATAAGGGGAGGGGTCAACCCTAGCATTCCCCAGCTCTCTCTCCAAGAAGCGGGACTTCACAGAGAAACAGGGGCCTTCACTTGTAGGGTAACCCTCTAAAGGATAGAAAACTGGATAGTTCCCAGGGAAAGGTTGACTGATCTGAAAACAAACAAACCTTCCTTTTGGAATAAGGATGAGGGGAAGGGTCAGCCCCATCCTACGGTAGTCACAGGGACTATACGGGTCCTTAGGGGACAGCGATACTAATGGACAGGGAAGGAAGGCTGATTGGCCCTTACATGGGCTCACATGTGATTTCCTTCTGTTCAGTGTTTTTCATCCTATACAAAGGGTGTTCTGACAAGCTATCAAAGCTTAAAACTGCCTTGCAGAGCAGCGAGCATATCTTCTTAGCCCACTGATGCCTGGGAACTGATGTCAGCCTCCATAACTTTTCTGCAGCATCCCAAACCCAAATCAAAGGCTGATGTTCCCAGGGAGAGCACTGGGGAAACTGACTCATTTGTGAGTCACACCCAAGACTGAGCTCAAAGCCAATGAATCCAGGAGGCTCTGGTTTTGGGCCACAGGTCATACATGCACTGGGTCAGCTTCATGACCACATCAAGTTAAAAACGTAAGGAGGACAATAAAAATAAAATAAAAGTGATTACACGTGTCAATGCCTTCTTTCTTTTAACCACACCTGTGATTTTAATTATAACCCAGTAAGGAAACTCCCTCTAGGCCCAAATGAGATCACATTGTAAGGGCTTCACCCAGTGCCTGGCACCTAGGATGTATTATAGAAAGGTAAGCAATTACTATTGCTGTTAAATCAGTTCAGAACCAGCTCTGGCCCTGAAAGTCTCAGAGCTTGGCCTTCTGGAAGAGGACACACCTACTGTAACTCCTCATGTCCTGATGACTGGAGCATCATTGCAAACACTACAGCACACACACTACGCTGGGTGCATCGCACAGTCCCGCCTTCTGAGCAGCCAGAGACACAAAGCTTTGACCCCCTGCTCCAACCAGCCACAGAGTGCCATGCTTTCTGGGCCCACCTATCTATTGCTGAGGCTCTCTGTCTCCCCCCCCACCTTCAGCCTTCACTGCTAACACTGTGTCTGTCTCCAGCAGCGCTCATTTCCCAAGGCCTGCCTCAGCAGAGAGCTTTAATTCTACTGTGGCCTGGGAAGGCAGAAGGCCAAACCTTCTAGGATCATGTAGGAAACCCAACTAAACCAGCTTGCTGCGAAAGTCAGAACCAGGGGCTTTGCCTCGCGAGCTCGGTGGTCAAGTAGGTGGTCCAGAACCATTCTGGCCAACTTGTTCTGATTCCACCTCATCCCAATGGGTGAGGCAGAGCCTCATCTGAGAAGGGCACAGTCACTACAGAAAATGAGATAACGAAGTTACCCCACGAAATAAAAACACAGCTCTGCACAGCGTCCACAAGGGGCGACAAGGTCAACCTTCTTCCCCAAAACTACACAAATGTCCCCCCGAGTTCAGATCATTTAAAAAAATTCAATTGTATGTTATCCCTGAAGGCACTGACTGTCACTGGACTCTCTAAGGCAGAAGGCAGGCAGCAGCGTGAGCTAGGAGACGGAGCTGTCTGTGAAGCCAGGAAGGCCTGGCTCACACCTGTCTCTGACCCATCCTGGCTGTGTGAGCCCGGGCAAGGGGCCTAAGCTCCAAGAGCTCTGGGCAATTCGAAGACTGAGTGGCAGAGAAGGGTCAATCTGCACGGGGAAGGGAGTTTCCTCATCCAGGAGTGCACTTTCAGGCACTAAAACCACCTACACTGTGCAAACACTGCTTCCTCAGCAGAGGGTCGCCTACCTTCCCTACTCCTGATACAGCTTTGAAGCCTCCAGACAAATTCAGAAGAACTTAGTGTCTGTCTTTAGTACTTCATCTCACCCTGAAGAGGAAAGAGGACAATGCACCAGTCTCCTTTCCTTACTATGGGTAAGGAACAGTGCATACACCATCAGAAATGGCCTGGCCT